TATATATATATAGGAACTCTGTGGCATAGTGCCTAAAACATTTGACTCCTAACCAGAAGGCTGGCACTTAGAGCCAGCCACTCCTCGGAAGGAAGGTTGGGCAATCTCTTTCTGCAGAAGTACCACCTCAGAAACCTGAGGGGTCACTATGAGTCAGATCCAACTCAACGACAGTGAATTTGGTTTTGGTTTTGTTTATACACACACACAGACACACACACATATGTATACATACAATGTATGTGTATATTCTACATGTATGTGTGTGTATTATATATATATAATACACACACACACACACACACATATATACATACATATATGAGTTCTGTAGTGCAATGGTTGAAGCACTAGACTGCTAACCAAAGGGTGGTTGGAACCCACCAGCCAGCCCCGGGGGGGAACTGCAAGGCAGTCATCTTCCATAAAGATTTACAGCCTTGGAAATCCTGTGGGGCAGTAGTACTCTGTCCTGTAAGGTCATTTTGAGTCAGAATGGATTCAATGGCAGTGGGTTTGTTTTTCAGTTGAGAGAAAGCAAGTGCCCAGAAGCATGCCTGGATATAACTTGTATGATGTTTTGTGTAGCTGGACCTCCAGAAGGAAAAGATTTTAAACGGACCTGATGGAAATGGAGGCGCCCTGGTGGTGCTGTCATTAAAGCACTCAACTGGTAACAAAAAGGTCTGGGTTGGAACCCACCAACCACTCTGTGGGAGAAAGATATGGATGGCAGTTTGCTTCAGTAAAGATTCCCACCCACTGCCATCTAGTCGATTTTGACTCATTGCAACTCTATAGGGCAGACTAGAACTGCCCCACAGGATTTCCCAGGCTGCAAACCTTTGCAGAGGCAGACTGCTTCATCGTTCTCAGAGCAGCTGGTGAGTTCAAACTGCCAACATTTTAGTGAGCAGTAGAATGCCTTAACTACTGTGCCACCAGACCTCCTTTCCATAAAGACTACAGCCTCAGACACCTGTGGGCAGTTTTACTATGTCCTATCTACTTCCGGGAGCTCTGGTAGCATAGTGGCTAAAGCACTTGACTGCTAACCAGAAGGCTGGCGGTTCAAACCCACCAGCCACTCCTCCGAAGGAAGGTTGGGCAATCCTACTTCCGTAGTGATACTGCCTCGGAAACCCAAGGAGGGGTCACTATGAGTCGATCTGACTCGAAGGCACATAACAACAACAGAATTGCTAACCAGAAGGTCAGCAGTTCAAAACCACCAGCTGCTTGGTGGAAGGAAGATGCTTCCGTAAAGATTTACAGCCTCGAAACCCAGTGGGGGTCGCTATGAGTCAGAATAGACTGGATGGCAGTGAGTTTAGTTTGGTTTTATAGAGTTACGATGAGTAGGAATTGACTCTAAGACAAAACCAAAAACCCACTGCCATCCAGTCCATTCCGACTCATAGCGACCCCCATTGGGTTTCCAAGGCGGTAAATCTTCACAGAAATAGATTACCCAGTCTTGTTTCAACAGAGGGACTAGGGGGTGTGAACCACCAACCTGGTGGTCAGCAGTCAGAGACCTTAAGCACTGTGCTACCAGAGCTCCTTGACTCTAGGACAGTGGGCTTGTATTTTTTGGTTTAATGTCAGTATTAGGCAGGAGAAAGACGTGACACTCTGTTTCCATGAAGATTTATAGCTTTGGAAACCCTAGGTGGCAGTTTTAGATTGCCCTATAAACTCTCTCTGAGTCAGAATCCACTCAAGGGCAGCAAGTGGGTTTTGGGAAATGGAAGGACCTGAAATGAGACATAAAAGATGGAGAGATAGCAAGAAAGATAAAAGAAGAGCGTTCTGAGGGAAAAGAGATGCCTGCTGAGGATGTGCCAGGTGCTGCTCTAGGAGATGAGAATCCATAGTAAAAGGCACGACTCTCCAGGGAGGTCGCAGTCTAGTGATAAGTCAGACATACTAAATGATACAATGTGTTGTGTAATTAAGGTGTGCACACTGAGGGGCAAGAAGGTGTGGTTAGAACGCCCGGGGACTAGGAAGGCTTCTCCGAGGAGGTCACACTTCTTGGTCTGAAAGAAACAGAGAAAATAAAAAGGAAAGAGAGAAAGATGAAGAAATACCAAAAATAAGACGAGGAAACAAAAGAGAAAGGGCGGGCTCGATGAGATCGGCGCTCCGGCCTTCGGTCCTCGACTGCTAGGGTCTGGACGCAGTCACCGCCTCTTTCCTTCCCACGCCGTCACTGGCAGGGCCTGAGCGAGCTCCGAAGCTGCCAGCTTGCCAGAGACGTTATGTACCGGCTCCCGTCTGCCGTGACGACGCGGACCGCGACCCTCGGGGGCTGGGCCTGGGCCTACAGGCGGTGTGGAGTCCATCAGCGAGCCAGTCTGCCGCCGCTCGGTCACGGCTGGGTCGGGGGCCTCGGGCTGGGGCTTGGGCTGGCACTCGGGGTGAAGCTGGCGGGCGGGCTGAGGGGCGCGACCCCCGCGCCGTCTCCCCCAACCCCCGACCCCGAGGCGTTGCCTCAGTCCGAGCCGCCGCCGCTGCTGGAGCACTGGTCCCCGCAGACCCCTGTGCCTTCCCTCTCCAAGCGCTTCGCCAGAGCCATCGAGAGCAGCCGCGACCTGCTGCACAGGATCAAGGTGCTGGCTCTAGGGGTATGCGGGGCCGAGGCCCCACGCCCCTTCCCTGACTGGCCATCCCTCAGTGTCACCCTGGAATAGGACCCTCTGTGGTCATCCCCGAGGCCGAGCAGACCCCATCCAGGGCTTCCGAAAATAACTTCCCGTTTCTTGACCGCCACGGTCAGATGTTCCTGGGGATTGCCTGAGTCCGGGCGGAGGTCAACGCCGCTTCAGGGACCGCCCACTCTTCTCCCTAAATCTCCTCCCCTCGCCCCCACCCCCACCCCTCGGCTTAGGTGGCCTGGCGAGAACTGAGCCGAGGTAGGCGGGGCGAGGGCGGGGCCGAAGCCAAGGTGGGCGAGGCCTGGGGAAAGGTGGACACCTGGAAGATCCTAAGTGAAAGTGTTGTTGTTGTTATGTGCCGTGGAGTCAAACCGGACTCATAGCGACCCCTCCTTGGGTTTCCGAGGCAGTATCACTACGGAAGTAGGATTGCCCTACCTTCCTTCGGAGGAGTGGCTGGTGGGTTTGAACCGCCAGCCGTCTGGTTAGCAGGCAAGTGTCTTTGCCACTATGCTACCAGAGCTCCCAAGTGAAAGTGTAGGGGGATGCTATCCACATTGTCTTTGAATTGTCTGCTCTTTTCTGCTTTGCTTATAGGATGAGGTGGGTGCACCAGGCATAGTGGTTGGCGTTTCTGTAGATGGAAAAGAAGTCTGGTCCGAAGGTGGGTTCTGAAAAGTGTTGATTTAGTGGCATATTTTATGCCAGTTGGTTAATGAAATCTGGATGTTTTACTGCTTAAAATGAATCCCATGAAATACTATTTGGTGTACATAAAATCATGCGTATTGTAGAGAAAACATATCTAACAGTATAAAGAATTGGATTTTCTATAGCAGCAAGATATAAAATGTGACTAATGAATAAATTGGAGTCTTAAAGATGGCTGTATCTACCCCTACTTTTCTACTAGGACTGGATTTGTTGGTAGATAACCCTTATGGGTAAATGAGATGTAAATATTTGTGTACTTTCCTTTTTTCATTTAATCAATTTATTGCATCCCTATTTGGTACAAAACACTAGGTTCCTTGTTATTAAAGAGCTTGTAATCTGCTTTATTGCTTAATTCATTAGGTAGAAGTTTCAGCTATTTTTTCTACTAAAATGTTTGAAGCCTTTGGAGAGATGTTTAATTATTTCATGATTAGTAATCAAAATACAGCCTTCATGGTAGAAACAGGCTGGAAATTGCATGATAGAATTCTGCCAGACCAATAACTTATTCAGAAATTTTCTTCAACAACATAATCAATAACTATATATGTGCACCTTGTCAGAAGCATTACATAGAAATTTAGTAAACTACATCTATAGAAAGAGAATGGAGAAGCTCAGTATCATTGGTCAAGACAAAGCCAGGGGCCAGCTGTGGAACAGACCATTAATTGCTTGTGTGCAAGTTCAAGTTGAAGCTGAAGAAAATCAAAGCAAGTCCAGGAGAGCCAAAGTAGGACATTGAATACATCTTGTCTGAACTTAGAAATCATCTCAAGAATAGATATGGCACACTGAACACTAATAACCAAAGACTGGAAGATATCAAGGACATCATAAACAGAATGAAAGGTCATCACAGGGCAGTGAATTGCTTGGTATGGCTCTTCTAGCCATGATCTTTATGACTTTACCAGATTACTGGGTGTAACTATGCAAATGTAAAGTGTTTTTGGCTCACCAAGGGGACTGGATAGCTTGTTGGTAATGTAAATAAGGTACACAGCACTCTTGTGTGGGGTGGGACCATGGGAATAAGTTGTATGGAACCCTAATGTAGGGATTGGTTAGTTTTGTCATTCTGCTCGGCTTAAAATGAAGCTTCCTAGAGGCAGAGGGGGGTTCTTACTGCCATCGAGAGAAGAGAGCTGGAGGTGGATTGAAGCATATCCTTGGACTAGACATCCCTGTGCTGGACCTCCTTGGCACAGAGAAGGCAGAGACTACCTGCTGAGATGACTGGCTAAGAGATGGCAACAGCGGAACCAAGAGGCAGGACACAGAGTGGTAGGCTTTCCAGCCCATGGAGTGAGAAAGCTAAGTGCTTTTGGGCAGAAGGCTTGCTGGAGGAGTAGGGTGCACCTAGGTGCACCTGTCAGCAGAGCTGAAAGAACTTTGTAACACCAGCCCCAGCAGGACAAAGGCCAGGCAGAGAGTCCAAGGGCCAAAGAGTGACATGCCTGAGGGCATGACTAAAGGGAAGCTGTCCTGATTGAAGAATTGTATCCTGAGTGCATTCCTAAACCTGAACTGTAACCTGTTACTTCCCTAACAAACCCCATAATCGTGAGTGTTGTCTGTTAGTTCTGTGTGGCCACTGCAACAAATTATCGAACCCAGCAGAGAAGTAGAAAGTGCGGTGGAAGGGACAGTTGGTGTTAGAGTTGGTAAAAAGGGTTGGAGAGTGGTGGCATGTCTGGCCTCACAGGAGTCAGCTTTTGGGCTGTTGGTGTTGATCCTTTTCTCTCTCCTTTGTGAAGTTAAAGGAGGTTGGAGATGGATGCCGCCCCCATGTTTTTAGCAGTCATTAAAAAGACAGGAAAAGAGGAAAAGACCTAAAATGTATGTCAGAAGATATTCCAAAACTTGCTTTAAGCAAAATAGCTAAAGCAAATGGGAGAAATGATTAAGTAAAAGAGCAGAATAGAAGATTTTAGAGGGAAGTTTGAGAAAATAAGTATTACGATGAATTTACAAAGACCTGGAATTAGGAAACCAAAAGAGAAGAACACAATTGGCATTTCTCAAGCTGAAAGAACTGAATAGAAAATTCAAGCCTGGGAGTTGCAATACCAAAGGACTCTATGGGTAAAACATTGAATGTACCCAAAATAGTGGGTCAGCATTCAGCCATTTTAGGAGGTAGCATATGATCAGGAACAGCTAGTTCTGAAAGAAGAAGGCCAAGTCATAGTATGTACATATTGGTGAAAAACAATGCTCCAGGAATTAATGGAATACCAATTGAGATGCTTCAATTAATGGATGCAATGCTGAAAATGCTTACTCAAGAGATTTGGAAGATGGCTACCTGGCCAACCAAGTGATCCATATTTGAGCACTTTCCAAAGAAAGGTGATTAAACGGAGTGCAGAAATTATCAAACAATATCATTAACATTACCTGTTAACAAAATTTTCCTGAAAATAATTTTTAAAAGATTGCCACAGTACATTGCCAGGGAATGCCAGAAGTTCAAGCTGTATTCAAAAGAAGATGTGGAATGAGGGATATCGTTGCTGATATCAGATGGATCTTGGCAGAATGTAGAAAATATCAGAAAGAGGTTTGCCTGTGTTTTATTGAATACGTGAAGGTGTTAGACTGCTTGAATCATAACAAATTATGGATCACATTGAAAAGAATAGGAATTAACAACCATACATCAGCAGCATTTGCCCAAGGACAAAGCTCAGAAGGCAGGAAGGGACAGAAAAAAAGGACAAATTGAAATGGGAAACACAGGGAGGAAGTGTAGTAGGAAGACTACTGTTATATTGTGGGGATTACAATAAATGTCAAGAAAAAAATGTGTATGAATTGTTGAATGGAAAACTAATTTGCCCTATAAAATTTCAGCCAAACCACAATTTAAAAAAAAAAAAAATACAAGAACATGATATAAGAGATTTTGGCAGACATTTATTTAGGGGGAAAGAAAAAACCCATATGTTAGTAAGGATAAGAAAAGATACAGAGAAGGGAATAAAAGAATTATAAGAGAAGGTTATATGCTACTCCAAGGCAATGCATTTTCTAATTAGAAAAAATGGATGATTTAAAAAAAAAAAGAAACTATCAAAACTGACCTTCAAAGAAATTTAAAAAAACAAAACTCTCAACAGACTAATAGAAAATATGGTAAGTGAAATTAAATGTCTACCATTTAAAAAGTGGCCTGCTGTTGTTGTTGTTATGTGTTGATGAGTCGGACCCGACTCATAGCGACCCCTCCTTGGGTTTCCAAGGCAGTATCATGGAAGTAGGTTGCCCAGCCTTCCTTCTGAGGAGTTGCTAGTGGGTAAAAAATGGGCAGAATCAGATTATTTTACATTTAAATTCTACAAAGCCATAAAAGGAGACATAATTTCAATATTAGCCCATAGTGACAGACGGAAAGATTCACAACCTAAAATCTGGTAAAGAAAAAACGAGGAAATTTATTGACCATTTTCACTTATGAATGCAGATGCAAAAATTCTGAGTAAAATAGCTAGTGTATATATATGTACATATACATATACATATATATATAAAGGAACTCTGCTGGCATAGTGGTTAAAGCATTTGGCCGGTAACCAAAAGTTTGGCAGTTTGAACCCACCACCCACTCTGTGGGATAAAGATGGGGCTTTCTGCTTCTGTAAAGATTTACAGCCTTGGAAACCCTGTGGGACACTTCTATTCTGTCCTGTAGGGTTGCTATGACTCGTAATCTACTGGATGCCAGTGATTTGTTTCTGTTTGTTTGCATATCAGAAGAATAGTACACACATACACAGACAAATGGAAATTCCAGAACACTTCATTGTACTCATGTGGACCCTGTACATGTACCAAGAGGCAGTAGCTTGAACAAAGGGATACTGTGTGGTTGAGAATTGAAAAATGCATGTAGCAGGGTTGTATCCTTTCTCCTAAACACATAATCTGAGAAGCTGGAGTATGTGAAGAACACAGCATCATGATTGGAGGAAGACTTATTAATAACCTCTGGACCAATAAACAACAACATGATAAATGGCAAAGAAATTGAAGTCAAGAATTTCATTCAACTTTAATAATCAATGCCCGGTCAAGAAATCAAACAATGTATTGCATTGGCCAAATCTGCTGCAAAACACCTCTTTAAACTGTTAAAAAGCAAAGATGTCACTTTGATGACTAAGGTGCCCCTGGCTCAAGCCAACATCTTTTCAATTGCCTCATACACATGTGAAAGCTGGAGAATGAAAAAGGAATTGATGCCTTCTCATTGTGGCATTGGCAAAGAATGTTGAATATACCATGGACTGCCAAAAGGAAAAAAAAAAAAAAAATCCTAGAGGAAATATAACCAGAATGTTCCTTAGAAGTGAGCATGGATAGACTTTGACTCCCTTACTTTGGACATACCATCAGGAAAGATCAATCAGGAGAAAAGTATATTATATTTGGTAAAGTGAAGGTCAGTGAAAACAGAGAACTTTATGAGGTGGATTGCCATGGTGGCAATGTTTGGCAAGCTCAAACATACCAATGATCATGAAGATGGCCCAGGACCAGACAAAGTATTGTTCTGTTATACATAAGGTCACCATGAAATGACCATGAGCTGACAGCAACTAACAGCAAGAAATGACATTTCAGAATTATTTAAAGAGAGTAGTATTTTTAGGAGTCATTGACAGGAACAGCAGAGTTTTGAACTTAAGGAAACGTGATTCTTTGCTATAAGTATAGCCTAATATACCTACCTAGTTTTTAATATACCTAGTTTATAGTATTAGGAGCGCTGGTAGCATAGTGCCTAAGGCACTTGACTGCTAACCAGAAGGCTGCTGGTTCAAACCCACCAGCCACTCCTTGGAAGGAAGACAGGGCAATCTACTTCCATAGTGATACTGTCTCGGAAACCCAAGGAGGGGTTGCTGTGAGTCAGGTCCGACTTGACAGCACACAACAACAGTTTATAGTATTAAATATATATATATATATATATATACACACACACACACACACACACACACACACACATATATATATATATATATATATAATATATATAAATGTCGGCTTTTTTGGTATTTTATTTTTATGCAGATATTTTTCAGCTTACTCAACATTTACAGTTTAAAAACAGATCCCAATTCTTTATAACTCTTAGCCTATCAAGAAGATGTAAACCAAATTTTCTAGAAAGAGCCTTAGTAGTGGAGCATAGATACGTAGTTTTTATTCTGGATTGTAGCTAAATTAGATTGGTGATTAACTAGATTGAATTTGTGGAAGATTTATTCACATTCCTTTTAATTGGATTGCTGTTTTAAGGAATTCATTGGAAACTCAAAAAATCAAGAATATATATCTGAATAAGAATAATAACATCTTCTTTAAAGAATGTAAATAAATGTATTTAAAATGTAGAATGACTAAATTGTTTAGATAAGCACAGAAAAATTAGTATCTGAATCAGATGGAATATTACTGCTGGCTATAGGGTACAATTTTTGTTACAAAGTTAAACTGTTAGGCTTAATATTGTCAGTTTTACTATGACACTCCACCCTTACATGTCCCGTTTTAGTTAACTTACAAGAGTGGAATATCTTCCTTAGATAACTACACAGAATGTTTTAAAATAGTATTATTTCAGTTTTTGAAAACTCCTTTCACCATGGGTGTGTTACTAATGACCTTTTGCTTTTTCCTCCGCAAGGTTTAGGTTATGCTGACGTCGAAAACCGTGTTCCTTGTAAGCCAGAGACAGTTATGAGAATTGCCAGCATTAGCAAAAGTCTCACCATGGTTGCTCTTGCCAAGTTGTGGGAAGCAGGAAAACTGGATCTTGATTTTCCAGTACAACATTATGTTCCTGAATTTCCAGAAAAGGAATATGAAGGTGAAAAGGTAGTGAAACTCACAATTCATTTTGCTAATGGCATATTTTAAATAGTTTATGGTAGAATTTATGTTCAACATGTTTCATAGGATATTTTTTGGATATTTTTAACTCTTTAATGAGTTAAATTGTTTTTGTTTTTTAACCTAGATCAAAACCAGGTGGGTATTTTTCTGCAACTCGAGGCTAAAAAACTACGTGACATGTTTTTCCAGCTGTGGTTCAAAATGGAAAAGATTAATGAGGCATTGTACCAAGGCTACTAACTTTTGTTGTACAATTTAATATTGAAATTGAGTTTTCACATTTATACAATTAGGTTTCTGTCACAACAAGATTACTGATTTCCCATTTAAGTGGAATTCGTCACTATGAAAAGGACATGAAAAAGGTGAAAGAAGAGAAAGCTTACAAAGCTTTGAAGATGATGAAAGAGACAATGGAATCGGACCAAGAAAAACAGTTGAAGGAGAAAGGAGGCAAAAGTAATGAAAATAATGACTTTGCTAAAGCAAAAACAGAGCAGGATAATGAAGCCAAAGGCCGGAATTCAAAGCCTGGCAAGAAAAAGAATGATTTTGAGCAAGGAGAATTATATTTGAAAGAAAAGTTTGAAAATTCAATTGAATCCTTAAGATTGTTTAAAAATGATCCTTTGTTCTTTAAACCTGGTGAGTGTTAATCTCTTCTTAGCAAAATCCTCATTATTGGAATATTAATTTTCAGGAAATCCAGAATGATAGATAAAGTTGATTATGACTTCGGTTTTGTTGCCAGTCCTGTGCTTACCTCTTAGTCTGTAGTTCTAACAAAGACTAACATTCAAGCAAGTACTTGTTTAGAGTTAGCTTCATTTCAGACTACCCCAGTCATTTAGCTGATTCTCAGTATTAAGGCATTCATGGAAAAATTACAGGGAAATACTGGAATGATAGTCCTCCAAATAAAACCTAGACCAAAATGAGCGTGATAAAGTATCACTAGTATTTTGGCATTTAGTTAGAATTTAAATTACTCAAGCTATTTTTTTTAACTTTTTGAAGAAATTAGTGTTCATCAGCTTCGTTTAATGTTCCAAACAGCTATCCTATAAAAATAATTATATTATTTTTTTGGTATGGTGCCTACTGACAGCCTTTAGTATCTTTAAATTTATGACAAGTTTATGTATTGTTATTCCATTTTCATTTTTAAAATTTGATTTTTTACCATGAATGGATATCATATAGGTATAGTTAATAAGGGCAAATAAAATATATTCATGAGTTTTACTTTAAAAAGTAAGGTTCCCATCTATTTTTAGTACAGATTATACAATCTAAGTGTCTGGAATCCAAAATGATATAAAGGAATATATTTGAAAACATATATGTGTATATGTGTGTGTGTTTATATGAGAAACACATTTCAAAAATGTGTGTGTGTATATATATATATAGTTTTTGATATATAACTGACTATCCATATATATATATATATATATATATGTTTTTGAAGCAAGGTGTTTAAGTGTACATATATTTTATTAAAATAGGCACCAGTATACCTATTCCTATCTTAAGCAACAGTTAGTAGGTATATTAAGAACAAAATAGTTGCCTCAAGAAATTAAATTTGCTTCTCTTCACCTTCCATTTTTGTTGCCAGTTTGAAAGATTTTGCTTTGTTTTGAAGTAGGACTTGTTTGCTTATTTCATTATTGTAGAAAAGGGTAGATTAACATGAAATTTTAAATATAGTGATCGTCATTTTATTCTTAGGAATGTGGACTAGGTAGGGGCATTGCAAAGTTGACTAAGTTTGTTGCTATATAATCTGTGATATTTTTTCTAAATGCTGAATTAAAATATTCCAGTTTTAAAAGTATGACAGTTTTCTATGGGAAAATATTTTACATATTTTAATCAAGCATTTTCTTTTTTCCACCCCCTTTGTAATGATGTCTCAAGGTAGTCAGTTTTTGTATTCAACTTTTGGCTATACCCTACTGGCAGCCATAGTAGAAAGAGCTTCAGGATATAAATATTTGGACTATATGCAGAAAATATTCCATGACTTGGATATGCTGACAACTGTGCAGGAAGAAAATGAGCCAGTGATTTACAATAGAGCAAGGTAAATGTGTACCTTCTGGTGTGTCTGGATGTATCACATCTTAACACTGTGTATCAATTAAAAGTCTAACTTTCCTGATCTCCATTCCAAAACCAATCTGACACATTTGGGAGAAAATGTGTCTATTTATATACTTATCTGTTTTTCCACTACAAAGTGAGGGAAATAAAATGTGTTTGTAAAATACCCCAAGATCCTTAATGAAAGATAGCAATAATAATTCCAGCACATAAATAATTAAACCAAAATTACACCCATCATGGGCATCTGTAATTTGCTCTTTGATCAACCTTTTTCTTGTATCATTTTAGTTAATGCTTTTGTTTGTTTATTTACCTTTTTTTATTTCCTATTCCTTTAACATTTATTTTGAAATAATTTCAGACTTAAAGAAAAGTTGCAAGAATAATACAAAGAATCTCCCATATATCCTTCACTCACATTTCCCAAATGCTTTCATTTTTTCACATTGCTTTATCTATGTCATTCTTTTTCTAAACCATTTGGAAATAAGTGGTAGACAAGGTATACCCCTCTTACTCCTAAACTTAAATGTGTTTTCTATAAACAAATATGTGTGTGTGTGTGTGTGTGTTTATCAAGTCTATAGACCCTATTCATATTTTGGCAATTGTCCAAATAATATCCTTTATCAAAAAAAGAGACGAAACAATTTTTTTTTTCTGGTCTAGTGCTCAATCCAGGATCACACATTAATATAATGTTATCATGTCTCTTGAATAGCCTTTAATCAGGAGCAGTTCTTCAGTCTTTCTTTGTCTTTTATGATGCTGATATTTTTGAAAAGTATTAGCCATTTATTTTGTAGAATGTCCTTTATTTTAGGTTTGTCTGATGTTTCCTCATTTAGACTCAAGGTAGGCAGTGTTGGCAGGAATGCCACAGAAGTGATGATACATAACAGGAGACATAAGCATGATGTCAGTTTCTCCCATTATTGGTGATGGTAATTTTGATTGCTTTGTCTCCACTATAAAGTTCCTGTCTTTCCCCCTTGTCATGACCAAGTATATTAGGAGAAATACTATAGAAGACTATATAGAATCCTGTTTCTCATCAACCTTTCACCTATTGGTGATGTTTGCCAAATGGTGATTTTCTAATTTCATCATTCGTTCTATAATTATTAGTTGACTTTCTATTATAAGAGAGTGCTTTTCCTTCTCTCCTATGCATGTATGCTTTAATGGTACAGGACCGGGCAGTGTTTCATTCTGTTGTACATACCAGCACTCTGAGTCAAAACCCAGCAGCACCTAACAACACCAACAACATGCATTCATTCATGGCTTCTTTTATTCAATGAGTTATAATCTGTTACTATTTAATACCTTGTTTTTAAAATATCAAGATGTAAAAGAAAACTATTTATAAGGGTAAATGGCTATTAAGTTGTTTAACTATACTTTTCAACAAAGAGATTTATGTTTGATTTTGTGTAAGTTAATTGTGAACATTAAAATGCTCTTCTGATTTGGATTATGTAGACCCCCTGCTACATGCCATTACAATAAGGATAATTAAGATTTACCCTTACTGACAATAAAAATATTGTCTAAGTGCCATCTAACTAAAATAATTGTGCATTTAAAACATCTGGCTTAAAAGGCCTTTTATAGTTTAATAGGCATCTGTTAGTATTTTTACTCAGGCACTTTTAAATTACAGAGATTAAGATTTAAAATATTTAAAACATAGTTCCAGTTTTCTTAGATAACTTTTAAATGGAAAATACCAAATTGGAGTTACTTTATATAACTTTGGTATGGTAAGCAAGCAAAGAAAATTCTAGGCAAATTGCTCAGATTGAAATGTAATTTATGGAGAGGCTTTTGAACACTGACTTTGATAAAGTAACTAGAATTTTTATCCTTAGGTGGAAAACATGCAATGATTTTAGGTAATTCCATAATTTGATTCATTTACTCCTATTAGAGAAAAAAATTGTAACTGGCATTTTAGCTTTTTAGTACTTTAAAATTTAGCTATGCTTTTTGTTATGGAGGGGTTTTCTATGATTTATAGTTTAGACTCCTTGTTTGAACTGGTGTGCTTCAAAAATCACACATGGAAGCATTTGAACAGCTGCCTTTTTAAACTGTCTCATTGCTTTATAAATATTTTAGCTTATTTTGTAGAGAACATTTTGAGATATTTCAGAAACTGAAAAAAAATTAAGTTGAAGAGTGTTAACAAATGCGATAAAGATTCATTTCCTTTTTAAATGTAAGCTGTAGTTTTATTATTAGAGGAAAAAATATTTGAAAACCAAATGCTTAGAAACTTTTCAAAAAGGTTTAATCTGGAAAAAGCAAGAAAAATAGTAACGAAAGGGAGATTATTGGGCCAAATCTTAGGAAGGCAAGAAGATTATAAAATGACCAGTTCAATTATCTCTTGATTATTTGTGGTTATTATTCAGTTTGTTAAGTATTTTTGTTTTCTATTGATATTTTTCCTTTTCTTTTTTCCCCTAGTATTGTGGTTTTCAAAAAGGTTATGGCCAATAAGTGAGTTGGAAAATCAATTTAGTGAGTTGAGTACCAGCATTTCTTTCCTCCTTGTAATACAGAATAGAATAAAAAATAGCAGAATATATTGCATGTTATTGTTGTGAGGTGCTGTCGAGTCAGTTCTGACTCATAGTGACAGAACAAAGCACTTTGTTGTCATAACAACTCTATATACAGCAAAACAAAACACTGCCCGGTCCTGTGCCAGCTCCACTATCCCTGCCATACCTGAGCCCATCATTGTAGCCACTGTGTCAGTCCATCTTGTTGAGGGCCTTCCCATCTTTCGTTGACCTTCCACCTTACCAAACTTGATATCTTTCTCCAGGGAATGGTCTCTTCTTACAATATGACCAAAGTAGGTGAGACGAAGCCTGGCCATTCTTGCTTCCAAGGAGCATTCCGGCTGCACTTTCTCCAGGACAGATTTGTTAGTTCTTTTAGCAGTCCATGGTACTTTCAGCATTCTTTGCCAGCACCACAACTCAAATGCTTCAACTCTTCTTCTGTCTTCCATATTCATTGTCCAGCTCTCACACGCTTATGAGGTGATTGAAAATACCACGGCTTGTGTCAGGCGCACCCTAGTCCTCAAGGACACATCTTTGCTTCTCAGCACTTGAAAAAGGTCTTTTGCAGCCAACTTGCCCAGTGCTATACATTGTCTGATGTCCTGACTGCTGCTTCCATTGGCCTTGATTGTAGAACCAAGCAATACGAAGTCTTTGGCAACTTCAGTCTTTTTCTCTATCGTGATGCTGCTTATTGGTCCAGTTGTGAGGATTTTTGTTTTCTTTATATTGAGGTATAATCCATACTGCAAACTATATTCTTCAGTTTTCATCAGTAAGTGTTTCAAGTCATCTTCACTCTCAGCAAGCAAAGTTGTGTCATCAGCATTTCGCAGGTTGTTATTGAGTCTTCCTACAATCCTGATGCCACATTCTTCTTCATATACACCAGCTCTCAGATTATTTGCTCAGCGTAGAGATTGAATAAGTATGGTGAAAGGATACAGCATTGACATATTCCTTTCCTGATTTTAAACCATGCAGTGTCCACTTGTTCTGTTTGAACAGCAGCCTCCTGGTCTATGTACAGGTCCCATATGAGTACAAATAAGTGTTCTGGAATTCCCATTCTTCTCAATGTTACCCACAATTTGTTATGATCCACACATTGAATGCTTTTGCATAGTCAATAAAACACAAGTAAACATCTTTCTGGTATTCTTTGCTTTCAGCCAAGGTCCATCTGACATCAGAGATGGTAACCCTCATTCCATGTCCTCTTCTGAATCCAGCTTGCATTTCTGAAAGTTCTCTGTCAATATACTCCTGCAACTTTTTTTGAATTATTTTCAGTAAGATTTTACTTGCATGAGATATTCATGATACTGTTCAGTAATTTCCATTTTCTGTGAGATCACCTTTTTTTGGAATGGGTACAAATACGGATCTCTTCCAGTCAGTTGGGCCAGTAGCTATCTTCCAAATCTCCTGGCATAGCGGAGTGAGTGCCTCCAGCACAACATCTGTTTGTTGAAACATCTCAATGGATATTCTGTCAATTCCTGGAGTCTTGTTTTTTGCCACTTCCTTTGTGCAGCTTTGACTTTTTCCTTCAATACCATTGGTTCTTGATCATATGCCACCTCCTGAAATAGATGAACATCAACCAGTTCTCTATGATATAGTGACTCTGTGTATTCCTTCCATCTTCTTTTAATGTTTCCTGTATCATTCAATATTTTTCCCACAGAATCTTTCAGTATTGCAACTCGAGGCTTGAATTTTTCTTCAGTTCTTTCAGCTTAAGAAATGCCAAGCATTGAGTCTTCATCTCCAGTTCCTGAGCTTGAACCAGTGGTCTGCTGTATGCCTGTTGATCTTGGGATTGTGTCATGCTACTTGCAGACCTTGGGTTTGTCACTCTTAGCAACCAGCAGCTGCCTGAGTCATGAGAAGGCTCCCACTCCAATAGGCCTAGAATAAGAGGCAGAGCTGAAGCCCCAGGTTGAGGGGCCTTCACCCAGCTCCTAGAGCCAGCTCTCTGTAATCAGACTTCTAGCCTCCTAAACTGTAAGAGAATAAATTCCTGTTTGTTAAAGCCAAAAAAAGAAAAAGAAATGCCAAGCATGTTCTTCCCTTTTGGTTTTCTAACTCCAGGTCTTTGTACATTTCATTATAATAATAGACTTTGTCTTCTCAAGCTGTTCTTTAAAATCTTCTGTTCAGCTCTTTTATCTTGTCATTTCTTCCATTTGCTTTAGCTACTCTCTGTGCAAGGGCAAGTTTCAGAGGCTCTTCTGACATCCATTTTGGTCTTGTCTTCCTTTCCTGTCTTTTTAATGACCTCTTGCTTTGTTCATGGATGATGTTCTTGATGTCATCCTACAATTCCTTTGGTTTTCGGTCATTGGTGTTCAGTGCATCAAATCACTTCATGGTGCCTAATCCTGTACCA